CACTTTAGGCATGGTTGAGTGTTTGCCTAATTCTCCTTTTGTTTCCCTTAGTCTCTACTTGCTATTATTATATACTAGGCAAAGATAGGATGGTAAATAAGTGTAAGTGTTGCTGACTAGGACATATTGCTAAGAAAGCTCTGAACTATTTCTCATGAGAAAATATTTCTAAATTTACACTGGTTCTGGCATTAAGTTGAAATGAAGCATTTTTGCCTCCATTTCTTATGAGCAACATAATTTGAATGCCTATTCTTTCATTTAACTTTTTTTTAAATGCCATCTAGGTGCCCAATGCAAAATTTTTGGTTTTTTATCAAATATTAAAGCTTTTGTTTGCCAAGATAATCTCTTATATTTATTTTCTGATACTAGTATATGTAAGACAGTGCAAGGAACATTCTAAAATTTCCATAAATAGCTATAAAACATTTGAAAAACTGTGTATTTAGGGCAACACTCTTTGCTGTTTGGACATTTGGTCCAATGGTTTCCTTAACTCTTTCTTACCTTCCATAATTTTTATCATAGATAAATCCTTCTTTCACTCTAGCAGGAAGTAGATTTTCTTTTAAATAAGTAAATACATAAATACATGTATAATTTTATAAATTTATATATTTGTATGTTTTTGTATTTATTTATATATTTATATATTTATTCATTTCCTTTTGAAAACAGAATCGGCCATAATCATAAAAGAACATTGCCAGAGACCATGCTCTGTATGTTGACCATTCCTTTGGCAGTACTTTCTGAGCTATGACCGCCCCAGAAGGAGGGAGCATAAGGGCTGAGCTGATACTTCTAATGATGCTCTTCTCTCTTACACCTGGAAGACAGGTTGAACCTTGAAAACATATCTTCAACCAAACAATTTGAGTTACAAGAAGCAGTAGAGAATGGGATGCAGCCCATTTCAGCAAGTGAGGTTTGGAGGGAGGATTTCAGGAGAAGCAGTCTAGTGTTTAAACATCCCTGGTGACTGAAGTGTGAATGCTTGGAATGTCAAAAAGCTCACATTCAAATTTGGTATCTGGACTATACATGCCTCTGATCCTCCCCATTTCACAGTTAATAGAGAGACAACAGAGCCAAGGTGAATATTCTGCCCTATTCACAAAACATTGCCTCTCTCCGTGCATTATTTATTATCATTTGAAGTAACAAGATGCTGTTAATCTTATGGCTCTATATAGCTGAACCAGTCCCCTGGGAAATAATCCCAGGGCTAAAGTCTGCCAACACTAGACTAGTTTTAATAATCTACAATTGGCAAGTCATTCATTTTAGATATCGCCCAAGATAAGCAAGACAGCAGAGACCGAAGCAGAAATAGACAAGCTCGTCACAAACTGAAAGATGTGGAAAGGAAAGAAGAGCAGCATCTGCTGAAATTGTTGGAGGGAAACACCAAATACAAAAGAATGACACGCACCAACTAGAATAATTCAAGTTGAAAAGGAAGAAGAATGTTGGAGATTCCCAGAAGGAGCAGAGCCAGAATCATCAGTCAGGAGGAAAGTGAAGAGAATGTTTAGAGAAAGTCTTGAGAGAAAACATGACTCAGTGAATGACCTTGGACTCAAGTTCCTTAAACCTCTCCATGTCTCAACATCTTTCTTTGTACTCACTCCCAGGGAGTTACACTGGAACATTCTGATGTCTATAAGTCTAGGAATTGAAGTACAGATGGTGCCTGACTTATGATGATTCAACTTATAACTTTTTGACTTTATGATAATGCGAAAGCAATATGTATTCAGTAGAAAACATACTTTGAATTTTGAATTTTGATCTTTTCCTGGGCTAGCGATATACAGTACGACATTCTCTCATGATGCTGGGCAACATCAGCAAGCCACAGCTCCCTGTCAGCCATGCAATCATGAGGGTTAACAACTGATACTCCACAGTGCAGTATTAAATGCATTTTAAACTGACAATATTTTCAATTTATGATTGGTTTGTTGAGATGTAACCCCATCATAAGTCGAGGAACACCTGTACATATATGTATATTTTTATTTTTTAAAACTTTTTTTTAAACATATCTTTATTGATTTCAGAGAGAAGAAAGGAGGGGGAGAGAGAAAGAGACAGAAATATAAATGACGAGAGAGTCATTGATCAGCTGCCTAGCCTGCAACCCGGGCATGTGCCCTGACCAGGAATCGAACCCCGATCTCCTGGATCCTAGATCAATGCCCAACCGCTGAGCCACGCCCGGCCGGGCTGTGTATATTTTTAATGACATCTGTGCCTTATTCAAACTCTAAATTTAACATAGCATCCTTTACAATTGCACCTCTTGTGTTTTACTTCACTTTTATAAAAAAAATTTTCATTTGGAAACCAACTAGCAAGCATAAAATAAAATGAATGTAGTGAAAGTTGTCAGTAGACTTCCACATATGTGTCAATAGGTGTGAAAGGTTCTTAACACCTCATTTTTGGATCAGCCCCTTCACAAATACCCTTCTCACACCTCAAAAAGAACAAGAACACAATATATTTAAACTGGGCTTACTGGATGAGTGCAAAGCCTTGTCAGAAAATCTGAAGCTTTGAAACCATAGGTTCTCAGTATATGAGTAAAGTGACACTTAAATTTATTCCAATTCTGCAGTCTGTTATTTAAAGAAACCATGTTCTTATCTCTTCTTGGTTTTACTTGTTTGTTTTGCTTTATTTCATTTATTGAAATTCCTTCACATCTGGCAAATGTCTGTTTGCCATGGTAAAAGGGAGAGGGAAGGAGATGGAATGGGAAGAAGAAAATAACATTGAGATGGGTAGGGAGGAGTTCCAGAAATCATTTTTATATAGGTTTCCATACCAAGGCAATGGTAATGAGGACTTGCTACCATGCCAGGCACTGAGTGAGGCATACAAGGCACCATGCTAGATGGACATCAAAGAGAGAGCAAAGAAACACAACAGCTTGGCAGACACACTGACTTAAAAACCCATTTGCACAGGCTGGAGAGAGCCTGTTGTCTCCTGGGGAGGCTTTGGCATGGCCAGAAGAAAACATCAAAGACACTCCAGACTTCAAATCCCTTCCAAGGGTGCGATCAGCAGGACAGGAAATAGGAAAGTCATCCTAGAAGGGATTTAGAAAGGAAGGGGCTTGTCCAAGGACGCCCTTGGCCCTGAACATGAGCTCTTGCCATGTGTATATTCAGCAGACGTGATATGGTGAACAGCTTGGCACCCCGTCAGTAGCAAGTCTTGCCCTTGCCCCCCACCAAGAAACTGCAGGGAATAAGGCGCAACGAGAAAAGATAATTCAATAAGAGTGTTTTGTCATCTTCATGGTTAACTTCACATTTTGAAAGGATCCTATGAAACAAGAAAGGCTGCATTCTAAAACAACAGAAGCGTAAACAAATATCCAAAGGGACAGGAGAAGACCAAATTCAACCAAGAGAAAAGAACAAGTAGGGTTTGCCTGAAACGCTATCTGGCACACTAGACTAAAACTCCTGCTAACCCAGCGGGGACGCTTCATGCTTATAGTACCTCAGTACCACCGAGGAGCCAAAAGTTGCCAACAAACACAAGGAAAGGCCTTTAATTTCATGTCACTGGGAAATAATGACAGACTATGAAATCTGCCCATGTGCAGAGTCCAAACAAGACTGAAATTTCACATGCGTCCTGCCACTGAAGTAGGATGGTAAAAATGAACTTGGCCAAGCATTTTTCAATAACAATAAAGTTCCTGCAAAAGCAAGGGCTAGGAGGTTTCTTGAAGAGATAGGAATACTAAAGCAAATACATGGGATACACTGGATATATATTAATGTAGGGATTATGTAAATGTTGATGAAACCAAATAGTACACACTACATACATACATATTTATATATTCAAGTAAATGAAAATATAAAATTTAAAATACGTATTTTAAGTTGATTTTAAAGTAAGGCCACAGCGAGTGGGAAACTTTTTTTTAACCCTCATCCAAGGACTGAGGATATTTTTCCACTGATTTTTTTTTTAGAGAGAGTGGACGGGAGAAGGGGGAGAGGGAGAGGGAGAGGGAGAGAGAGAGAGAGAGAGAGAGAGAGAGAGAGAGAGAGAGGGAGAGAGAGGGAGAGAGATGTGAGAAAGAAACATCGATTGGTTGCCCCCCCAACACCCCGACCTGGGGCGGGGATGGAACCTGCAACCCAGGGGCACGCCCTTGACCGGGAATTGAACCTGCAACCCAGGGGCACGCCCTTGACCAGGAGTTGAACACACGACCCTCTGGTGCGTGGGTCAACGCTCTAACCACTGAGCACGCCTGCCAGGGCACAAGTGGGAAATTTTTAAATGAGCCCCCAAGCCCAGTAGCCCTTCCTTTTGCATGCCTAGTAGGTGAGGACCCATGCATGCAGTTTGTAGGCCCTGGAGCATAGTGGTCAAGCTTAGAGTTTCTGGAGTGAAACCTTCAGGCCTTAGATGGCAGCTTCACTACTATCAGCGTGACTCAGGAAAGTTCCTGAACCAAACCTCAGAAAACATGAGCATAATTTCAGTACTTACCTTACATGGCTATTGTGGGAACTAAGCAAGATAATATATGTACAGCACCAGACTGGACCCTAGCGCATATTAGGGGCTCAATAAACATTCACTATTAATATCACAAATCTGTTATGAGCTCTGTGCCCCATACCCATTTGTAGTGTCCACAGCAACTAACAGAGCAAATAGTAACCAGTAGTATTTAATCATACCTGCTGCTTGACTTAGAAATTAAGGTTCCACAACGTGTTTGATTCCCTTAATTGCACAATATAAACTGACACATAGAACAGAAGATTTATTTTCTTTTTTATGTCATTATTTCCACCGGTTGCTTCTTCATCGGTTAACTAAACAAATGCCTTTTTTCTGTGTACCTATTTTTTTGTTTTATTTCACCTCCTTAGAATAAATGTCTGTTCCTTGTCATCTGTATTAAATCTCATAAATAATTCTCTTAGATGTCAGCACAATATTCATACCTTAGAACAGTGTTCCTCAATATTTCTCCAACGAACAAGGTCTCCAGATGTGACTAGGTCCCCCTATTAAAAAAAGAATTCTATATTAAAGTTAATTTGAAAAATGTTGGATTAAACGTTAGCCAGGCATGCAGGATTTATCATAGTCTTAAATATGGTAATATTGATCTCCATGAAATGAATATAAAATGGCATGTTTTCCCAAATCACTTGTCTACACAACTCCCTTTTTGTGAAATTACGTCTTTCACAGAACTATGACGATCTGACAGAACTAACACTCTATAGTAGGCACTTCGGGACACTCAATATTGGAAGGACTACCTGAAATCTGTTGATTGTACCCTGGACAGTGGGGACACAATCTCATGAGCACACAATCACTTTTCTACTCAGGTGGTCTGCATATTAAGCAATAGTAGCTATAAAATGTCAGTGCCCCGACTGCGGGTTGATCCTCATGATTTTGCTGGTTGGGAAGGTATCTCCTTTCTCTTATACCACTCCTTCCGTAGGCGACTCCTGCCTCTATAAGCTTAGAAAAGTCAAATTCTTCAATGCAGTACTGTTTTCAGTCAAGGCCAGCACTTGTTCTGGAAGTGTGTTATGCTAACCCTGTCATCAGTGGATACACTGAAACATAACAAAACCTACATTTGTATCATACTGTCCACAGTTATTGAAGCCCGCATTCCAAATTTGTCTCTTCATCAGTGTTTCCCAAATGCTGGAATCGTAATAATCATCCACAGACTTTAGATAAATAGTGATTCTTGGGTTCTACAAACCCATGTGTTTTGAAATGCTTCTCTGGTGAGGATTATGGGGAAATTCAAACTTGGCTACACATTACAAACCTTCTTATTGTTTGAATATATCAGAATCCTAAACAAAACCTACTGAATGAGAATCTTCAAAGATGGGCAGGATATCTGTATTTTTGAAATATCTAAGAAATTTGGAGAGCCAGTTCTGAGGAATTGCAGCTCCACACCTCCCTCAGGTTCATCTACTGACAGAGGTAGAGACGGAACTGCAAGGGAGCTCCTCCAACATGAAGTCTCAGGCTTCTTCTATGAAATCACTTAATATTGGCCAATACACTGATCAGCATGGCAACCTACACAGGGGAGGGGCCCACTTACATACTGATTGAGGAAGGAAGGAAACTCAATAGTACTATATAAAATAAAAAAGTAGTTTTCTTTGAAAATAGGCAGAGTTGAGAGCAGAAAATCTGTCCCAACAGCCCCAACATGGTTTGATAAGAGACTCTTCTTTAGAAGATATGATCATTTTGCTTTACTTTACAGTATTTTCTACAGTGTAAACTATCTTCTCAGGCTTTCTGTATATGATGCAAAATACTTTCCCAACCTTCATCAAGAAGTTTTCTGACTGTCAATGTGGTTTCCTAATATATTTCAATTTCTGTTTGGTCGCCCACCCCCTTGATCCTGAGTTTGTTTAGAATGAGATCTCTACAAGAGCTGCCCTTCTGAGTGCAAAATGCATGAATCTTGCTAAAAAAGAAGAGCCTCAAATGGCTACTGGGCATGGGACACTTCATGCTAGAGAGAGGAAGCAACATCAGTACAGGTTATGGAACTAATTAATCATTCTGCCAATCTGAGAATCCTTTATTTGTAGAGTTAGCAAAAATGGTAGAGGTATTGGGAAGTAAAAAAGGATTAAAGGGAACTTCTGGAGCTAATTTTGTTAACATGATTCCTACAAGACACCCCTAAGGAGTCAATACATGACTTCTTTTTAACGATTCATCTTTTCTTTTGGAGATAACAGTAGACTTACAGAAGAGTTTCAACAAGAGTAAAGAGATGTCCCATATACCCTTCACTCAGCTTCCCCTATCTTTAACATCTTATGTAACCATAGAAATTGTTATCAAAACTAAGAATCAACTTTAATATAGTATCATTAGCAAAAGTACAGAACTTATTCAGATTTCACCAGTTTTTCCACTAATGTCCTTTTGTTGTTGTTCCAGGATTCTACGTTGCATTAAATTGTCATATCTCCTTAGTCTCTTCTAATGTGAGAGGAGTTCCTCTTCCCAGACCTTGACACTTTTGAAGAGTACTGATTGCTTGTTTTGTAGAATGCCCCTCAATTTGGGTTTGCCTGATGTTTTCTCATGATTAGACTGAGGTTGTACATTTGAGTAAGAATATCTAGGGGTACATGGTATCCATAGGCATTACTGGTTATGTTAACTTTAATCACCTGTCTGAGATGGTATCTGCCAGGAATCTCTACTAGGAACTTACTATTTTTGCCTTTGTAATTACTAAATATCTTGGGAGAAATACTACTTAAGGAAATATTATGTTTCTTCTTGGGATATTACCCACTCATTTTAACATTCATTGGTGGATTCCATCTGAGATAATTATCAGTGTGGTTTTTAAATTTCTATTTATAACTATTTTATTTAGAAATTCTATTTCCATCATTCTTTCTCCTTTTATTAACTGGAATTGTTCTCTAAGGAAAACTTGCTGCTTCTTCCCCTTTTAAGACAAGAGATCCAAAGGAAAGAAACAGGTTGCATAATTTTGGGTAGACCAGTAGGACAGCATGCATAGCTGACTGGGTCTTCACATGCTATACCACCACCCTCTGATGGGATCTACCCTAAAAACAAGCAAAATATGCACCAGATGGAAAATCCTAGAGTTTAAACCTAAATGTAGAGCGAGGGCAGGGATGACACTGTGGTGGTGATGTAAAGAGGATCTTATTCCTGGTAGCGTCTGTCTGAAGGAGATAGAAATGATAGCCTGGAACAAAAGAATTTCTGGGGTTCAGAGAGTATAGACAGAAAAGGTTAAACATAAGCCAAGGTCTCATGGGGATTAGGACTGGGAACTTAGGAGTCTGGGTGAAAGCAAGGAAACCAGGCAGACATGATGGTCTCAGAAAATAGAAAAGATTAGCTGGTATAGTAAGAACTGTTCTCTATGAAAGGCCAGAGAATAAATATTTTGGGCTTGTAAGTTGTATGGCCTCTGTTCAGCCGTTCAATTCTGCAACTATAGGGTGAACACAGCCACAGCTAGACAGTATATAATGAAATGGGCATGGGAGGATTTGACTCACAATGAGTCAAATTTGGCCTGTGGATAGCAGTTTGTCAATTCTGAAGCAAACAAAACCAATAAGGCTCTCAGGGCCAGACTGTCCTTTGGGCTCTATACTCAGTACTTCTTGGTTAGTCCTGTCTTGACTTAAAAAACCTCCCCAAGGGGCAGAGAAATAAAAGAAATGGCTACAATCACTTCAAACAAGGCACAACAATTTTGGGGGTTCTTAATAATGAAGGGTCTTGGAATTTAACCAAATTACTTATGTTTATAATACATACCCCAAAATTAGATACACCATATACTTTTATTTGGAAGTTAAATCTGAGAAGTAACTTACGTTGAGGTTTCTTGAGATGTTTTGAACCAAAATTGAATATAAGCTACTATTATTATTAAATGGCCTCTTAACTTGAATTTTATGATATGAGTAATCTGAACCAAGTTCTTGCCTTAAATTATTTCAGTAAGTTGAAATAAAGGAAACATTCACATTCTCTCCATCCTTTGATTCACCTTTGGTTTGGTGTTTTGTTTAATGTTCTTAAACATTATACATCTGAAATATAAGCTTTTATAACTTAATGGTGGCTAAATAGAGAAGGATGAACCAGAGGAGAACTTCAAATTATTTTGCTCTAGGAGAGTTAGAATATATAGAAAATATTAAACTAATCCTTTTAGGAGTGAGATATCAATTCTATTTTCCTTGTATCCTCTGGGCTTTTCTTGAATCTTTGAAATCCCTTCTTTATAACTGGAACTCCTGTGAAGATATTTCTGTGTATTTATTCTCTAGTAGCATAAAACATTGTGGAATTCTTGGCTAACCTAGCTTTAGAATATTTTATAAATTTAACAGCCTTGGACTTTGCACTGATGTAACTATAATGCAGGATAGGCAAAATGCATGGACACTCATCAGAGAGATGAATAAAAAGAGAAAAAAACCTTCCAATATTTTCATATTTCATAATGTCTTATTAGTTCCCTGGAAATTTAATTTTGAACCTGTGTCATGTTTTGCAGATTTGATTTGAAGTAAAAGAGTCAATTTCAGTAAAATATCAAAAAGATGTTTTAACGTTTTACACTTCATTAGATTGAATATTGGTGTAAGACATACATACATGTTTTAATCTACTATTTTGTAAAATTGGGGTTGAAATATTAAGCAAATTGTTTTTCATGTAAAAAAATTATAAACAATTTGCTTTTACCTTGTGAAGAAAATAAAGTAAAAGCTTCACACCCCAAAACTAGTAAATATTCTATAGAATCATTTAAGTCTTAGCGCTATGAATATTCTGATTATTATATTCATGCATTCCTTTGGGCATAAATTAAGTAGACCACAGGGCAGTTGGAGAGTGACCACAGCTTGACAAACCTTATGGTTCAGCAGATGTGGTTGTAAGATATGGCTTCAGTGAAAAATATTCACCACTAAGCAATTTTAGGACTCTACTCAGAGGTTTTGATTTAAAATCTTGGAATTTCCAACAGAAAAGAAATAGGTTTACCATCATATTGGTCTTGAGATACAAAAACAATTAGTTGCCTCAAGTAAGCAATAATGTGAACGAACAGAGTATTTTCAAGATGCAATATTACTACAAATCTGTAAGTGATGAGGGAGAAAGCTTTTCAGCTCATGCAATGAGCCTATTTCAGTTTATTTTTTGTTGACTTCCAGATAGCCAGGGGCTTTTCTTGGTGTATATATGAGAAGCCTTCATGCGAGTCATTCACTTTGAAAGATCAGCTCAATTATTTGAACAGTATTTTTCTCTGATTTGGAAAATAATACGTGTATTCTTGAGTAAATATAGAATTATCTAAATGTTCCAAGATTTTAGAGGAAATATCATAGCCACAATCATTTCCTGGGCTGTGAAGCTGAGCACCATTATTTATAATATACACTGAGAAATTCCATAAAATCATAACATACACAGG